AAACAATATGTAAGCTCTTTTTTCCTGGCTTCTTTTACTCAACATAACTATTTTTGAGATTTCTCCACTATATTGTGATTAATAGTTTATTCCATTATCCTGTTATATACTATTCTAGTGTAGGATGTAGCACAACTTGTCTTGTTGTTGTCAGTTCTTTTGAGTTGTTCTCAGTTTTTGCCTATGACAATAAAGCTTCTAAGAATATTTGTGTACAAGTTTAGTATGGATATACATTTTCAGTAAATGCCTAGGAATAAAATGGATAAAATGTAGGTTAATGAATGTTTAAATTTGAGGGAAGCTGCAAAACACTGTTTTTTCCTCAAGATGCTTACATTATTTTATATTTCCAAGAGCAGTGCATAAAACACCAAATCATTGCCAGCACCTAGTATAATCAATTATCTAATTTTAGGCATTCTAGGAAATTAGTGGTATCTTCTCGTAGTTTTAATTTCTATTTCCACGAGGACTAACGACGTGGAATGTCTGCGCATGCTCATTTTTCCATCTGTTTGTCTGGGTGAGGTGTCTGTGTGAGTCACCTGCCCACTTTTTTTAGCTGTTTTCTCTCTCCCAGTGAGCTTGTACCTTTAGTATTGGTCATCAAATTATTGGTTGGCTCACAGAATTCCCTTACAATCCTTTTAATATCTTAGAACCTGTAGTGATGTCACCTCTTTCATTTTTGATATTGGCTTACTAGGTAATAGGAATTTTAGTTCCATTATAAAATGGAATTTTAGTTCCATTTTCAGTTCCATTATAAACTTATGGGATGACTGTCATATCTACAGTCTATCATTGACCAAACTCTCACCATCTGGAACAAGACTGACTTCAAAATAGGTGGTGACCCACCCTCTTCTTGTTTGCTTTGTTAAGGAGAGGAAATCTGAAGACAGTCTTTTCCTTTTCCTCTATACAAAAAGTATCTTTATCTACGGGTATTTTTAAGATTTTATCACTGGCTTAGAAAATTTTGATTATGAACTTTCATGTAGTTTTATTCATCTGCTTTGTGGTTGGCGTTTATGGAGCTTGCTGGATCTGTGGGGTCCACAGGTTTTTTTTTTAATCAAATTTATTTTCTCAAATATTATTTGCAGAAATCTGTCATCTCAGCTCTCTATTTTCCTTGAAGGACTCCAGTTACTTATATTTGAACATCAAATGCTCATATAAGTTTTCTGATGCTTTCTTCTCTATTTCCTTTTCTCTGTATTTTATTTTGGACAGTTTTTCTTACTGCATTTTCAAATTCACTGACAATTTATCTTTAGTCTCATACGATATATTTTTAAATACAGACATTGTAGCTTTGCATCTATAGAACTTCCACATGTATTTTTTCTTTACATCTTTCATGACTATGTGACTTTTTGAACATATGAAATGTAGTTATAATAATTGTTTTAGTGGCCTGGCTACTAATTCTGAAAATTGTGTGCTCTTCTCCATTGTTTTTTATCGACTAAATCTCCTCCCTGTTTTTGGCTGTATTTTCTGACTTGTTTCTATGCTTTCTGATTTTTCTTTCTTAGGTGTCAGATAATATAAGTTTATCTGGTTGAATCTTGGATATTTTTGCACTCTTATAAATACTCTTGAGTTTTGTTCTTCAATAGTGGGTACTTTGAAATCTCTTGGTTCTTCTAGGTCTGGCTTTTAATCTTTAGTTTGAGGGCACAGAGCAGTGTTTGATGCAGTGCTAGTTATTCTCCACCACTGAGGAAAGATCTTTCAAAATCTTCTGCCCACAGGCCCATAGATCATAAGGTTTTCTAGTCTGGCTATTGGGAGAAGGAATTCTTCCTCACTCTGTGTAAGTGGTGGCCGTTGTTCCTTCTAAGCCTTTCAGGGTGGCTCTTTCCTGGTCTTTGGGCATTTTTCATGTGCCTGCACTCAGTACTCAACCGGGTACTCAGGAGCTACCCTCCACGATCTCTCAAGTTCTCTGCTTGCATGATTCCCTTCCGATCAGTGTTCTGTCCTATGGACTGGGGACCTTGTCTGCCAAGCTCTGTCTGGGTCCCTCCTCCCTATGCCACATGCTGGAAACTCTGAATGCACTAAGCTGGACTAACTGCGCTCCTTGCTAGTCTCCCAACTTCCTGAGATCATTATTTTTCACTACTCGCTGTTTAGTGACTGAGCATTATTTGGGTATTTTGCTTGTTTCCTAAAGAAACAAGTCACTGTTACTATTGCTTAATCAGAGAGAAAAACCCTTATGTAATAATGTTCATTTTAAAAAATGTCTTAAGAAAAATAAGTATTAGGAAAATAAGGTCATGAAGTAAAACTTAAAGAAGCTATTTACAAAAATATGAAATGTACAATATGAAGGAATTTTGTCATACAGTCCAAATTCTTTAAATAAAATAAAGTAAATTTAAAAATCAGTAACAGAAACAATAGCCTTATTGACTCCCACAAAATATAGATTTGTTATCTAAGAACTTTAGGACATGAAAACAGATTCATGGTTGAGGATGAAAGGATTACTATTAATAATATATAAAGAACTTGACCAATGTTATAATGAAACTCAATAGGAAAATAGACTTTGGATTTAGCAGGCATTTCATAAAAGAAGCATGAATGTTCAATAAACATTTAAAAAGACACTGAATCTCCCAATAACTAGAGAAATACTAATTAAAGCAAGAGTGTTTCTGTGGTGTGTCCAGCATATTTGAAACCTGGAGTAATGATTTTTAACACTCCTTCCTTTGTATAAAAAATAATTTTAAGTAACAATCATGAAATGATGTGATGTTAAAGGCATTTCGTATCTCAAGAGAGACATGAATGGTGTTGTACTACTTATGGTTTGTATCTAGATGTCCTCCCAAAAGCTTATGTGCTCATAGGGGGGAGATTTTCAGAGGTGGCTGGATCTAGGGTGTGTGAATGTGGATTAAGGGTGTGTGAGAACTAAATTAGTCCACTGATTGGTTTAACATAGTCATGGGTGGACAATGGGAAGCCCCACCCTTGGTGTGGGTGGCACCAACCAATAGGCTTTTAGCCTGAAAAAAATAAAAAGGAAAAGGCTCACTGCTTCCGGTCCACTGCTTGCTCTGCTGTGAGCTGTCCTCTGTGGTGCCCTCTGCCATGCTGCCCTACCTTGGAGCCAGCCAGCTGTCAACTGAAATCACTAAGAACTGTGATCTAAAGTAAACCATTTGTCCTTTAACTTGTGGATGTCAGATATTTTGTCCCAACAAGATAAAGTAACTAAAACATTGGGTCAGTGTCATTTAATATTGGCTCTCCACTTCAAATTTCTTAGCAAATTCAGAATAATTATAAACAAAGGCAATCATAAGTTTGTTTCTCTATGTTTCTGTTAGGATATAAACAACAAAAAAAGTAAAATTCTACTTTTTTATGTCTGCTTAATGGTTTCAACTTTGAACCTTTGACAGTAGTCTGATATAATATATAAAGTACATGACTGCTCAATAATGAATAAATTTTCATAACATTCCACTTTTCTCTTAATTCATATCAGTTCAGAAACAATTAAAAATGGATAAATTTTAATTGTAAAGATATTTTTAAAATTCAGTAATACATTTCATGTATGAATTAAAATTTGTACCTACTAAAACAAAATTAGACCTCACAGTTTCCACTCTGAGTCATTGTTTTAAATATTAAACACAAATAAATACTGAAGTGGTCACATAGGATGACAAAACTGAAATAACTCAGATTGTCTTTCTTTGCTTTTCTGGTCAGTATTCTATACTCGTTTATTTCAAATCCACTGTGCAAACATGGGAATATGTAGTGCCACTGGGGCTGGTGGGATGGTCATGCAGGAGCCAAAGCAAACATTCAGGCCATTGCAAACTTACCTTTCAAATGAAGGTGGGAAAAGGAACCCCTGTGCATTCAGGGCTGACTGCATAACTGGGAATTCTCCAATTTGACTTTTCTGTAAGATATAATTATTTTAGAAGGACAAGAAATAAATCCATATTCACTTGCAGTTTCCATAATTTTTTTTTTTTTTTTTTGGTACTGGGAATCGAACTCTCGACCTCATGCTTGCAAAGCAGACACTGTGCTGCTGAGCTATATTCCCGGCTCCATAATATATTATGTAATTATATAATTTCCATAATATATTATTAATTTCAGTAATCATTATCAGTGCACATTTTTCTCACTGGAGACCAGGGCAGATATAGGTGGCACAGTGGAAAGGAGCCAAAGTTGAGGCCTTGAAGTTCTGTGAAGACCAGGAGTCAAGTAAATGCTCCTTGGATAAAAGCAGGTCAATAACCAAAGGGAAGGGGCACAGGTCTTTGCTAATCTAATTCAATGTATGTGTAGTACAGGTTTGGTTGGTTTCCTTACAGTATAAGGCAGAAAACGAGTAGAATCAGGTTTGGGGATTAAGCCAACCTACTTGTGTTCCTCATTTTCCATCTTAGAGATACTCCCCAGAATGAACTCATCAGGCCAGGGAGGTCAGCATGCAGTGTCAGGGACTGGGACGAGAGAGTAGGGGGCAGTTCTGCCAGAGGAAGCTGGAAAGTCATTAGTGCACTGAAAATGCACTTAGGCATGTAGTTAAATGACATCTCCAGATGAGGGAGACCAGCATTCTGTTTCTGAAGGACATGTATTTTAAGTGGATTAAGAAAAGAAATTATTTTAAATGCAGGGAGGTGTATAATTAACCCGGGAACCCTGGCTGCAGGAAGATACTGTGGAGGGGAAGGACTAAAGGGAATTCAGAGCACATCAGGCATATGGTTGAATAAAGAGGGCAGCCCCGTCTCCATGGAGGTATTGTTCTGTGAATAAATTTCAATTTGGGGAGCAAGAAAGAATTGTGGATCTGTGCCTAAGGCAGGCTTGTGTTCTTTCAGATGAGAGAGAACATCTTAAGAAAACACCACCTGTAAATGCATTGGACAGAGAATGGTATTTCTTGTTTGAAGGTATTTAAAGATAATCCTTTATTTTCCATTTAGATGCTGGAGACAGAAGACAGAGCAAGCTTCAAATAAGCACCAATCTGAGGATGTAGGGAAGGTTCCAAAAGCTGGGGTGTGGGAAAAGTAGAGCAAAGAGAAACACTTGCTGGAAGAGTCTGGAGACCATCAAGTACGGTAGGTGGACTTGTGGCAAAAGAACTAGACCAAGCAGTTGGGAATCAGAAGGGTTTGTGTGTAGGGCCATGAAGGAGAGCCTAGGACATGGAGCAGAGGGAGAGGTACCGGGAACGCCTACAGGACAAGGAAGTGGGGGGCGCTGCTGGACAACTGGGTCCAGGAGTACAGACACTGCTGGGTGTAGTGAATCCCTCTTAAAACAAGACTCTCCGGGCTGAGATTCAGCTGGTGGAGGCAAAGAGGCCTCTGGAGGAGACAGTGGCTAAGGATGATGATGAGGAGGAGGAGGAGGAGGAAGAGCAATAGGTTGACAGATGAGGGGCTGGGTCTGTAGAGGGAGCTTCTTTCTCTACTGACCATTGCTATGGGTCCTCCCTCGCCTCTTTCCTTTCATCGTCATGCCAACCATCACCGACACACTTGGTTTATCTCTTTGTTTTTATAATAAAGCAGGCCTGGGCTTTTGTTGATTTTGTTCACTGTAGTAAATTAGAGCGGAATAGCGCTTAACACTCGCATGAGTAAGTAAATATTCCACCAGCTGGTGAGCCACCACAGCTCAGTTTTGATGGGTGCTCATCTATTAGTAGGTCAAGAGTCAGAGCTGATAACCACAGGTCTCTGCTAATCTAATTCAATATATGTGTAGTACAGGTTTGGTTGGTTTCCTTACAGTATAAGGCAGAAAACGAGTAGAATCAGGTTTGGGGATTAAGCCAACCTACTTGTGTTCCTCATTTTCCCTTTGAGAGATACCCCCCGGAATCAAAATATGATTTAATTCCAAGAAATGACTCTTTTTCTTTTAGGGCTTCTCATCAATAAGGGGACCTTGGGGATAGATTCTCTGAAGAGACCAATCATTATATGGTCAGAGGAACACTGACAAGAAAATCGCTGTGGTGTATGACAGCTGGTGCTCAGCTTGTAACCCCTAGCTGAACTGAATTAACGTGGTGCTGGGTGTGGGCGGCCCACCTGAGAATTGTTGCCTGCAGCGTAAGAGGCAGACCTGGAGAAGAAGGAATGCTATTGGGAGCTGGTAGAAGCTGTAAGGAGCTGTTGGTTCTTTTGGAGGAGCTTGTTACGCTGGCTTTCCTGATGAACTCAGCTGTTTCCAACCTCCGAGGAGCTCAGGACCTCATTGGCACTGAGAATAGCTTTGGTTCACTTTGGGGGAGCTCTGGTCCCCACTTTGAGCATTGCTTCCTGGCTCTGGAGGAGAAGATGGTGCACTGCTCAGTGCCCTGCAGAAGCTTGCTGCATTGGCTTTCCTGATGGAAACTCAGCTGTCCTGATCAAAGGAGGAGCTTGGGAACTCACTGTTGCTGAGGGTGGTAATTTTAGGGGGAGTTCTGGTTCCTACTTTGAGTGTCACTTCCTGGCTCTAGTGCAGGTCCCTCAGCCTGCTAGCACAGAGCCTTCACCCTGCTGGCACAGACTTTCTAGCTTCCAGCACTGACCTTCGGGCCTTCCCAGTGCAGATCAGTGAAACAAGCCTGCATGAGATGATGTCATAGGCTCTAGGTCTCCAGCTAGACTCATGGGAAGCATTTTTATGGGCTCTAGGTCTTCAGCTGAACTCAGGCAGGACATTATTGCGGGATCCAGGCCCTCAGCTGGATTCTTTGGTCTTTAGTATGTGGACAGATTTTCTGCACTTTCTTGTATATTATTCTTTGGGTGACTACTATAAATAATCTTATAAAATATGTGTCCTGTATTATATTGTTCCCCTTGCAGTACCCTCTAAACCATGACAGTCCCAGACCAAAACTCTTATCCTGTTCATTAATTTAATTCATTGCATTAGTAGGGGATGTGTTCTCAAAAACAAAGTTGTGGAAGAGATCGAAATCACCCCCCTTGATATATGCAGTCCTACTGTCTCTCCTTCTTATGTGTAAGGAACAGCAGGCATGGCTGGAGCCCAAAATGTTGTATCTGAGCCTACCTTACTCTTCCTTTGAGATGAAAAGTAAGACCAGGTACGCTGACATACAATGAGACTCTGCCACAAGTTACAGGAGGCATAGTTCATAGAAACCTAAGAAAATGCAAAGCAAAGCTCAGAGGCATTCCAATTCTGCTTGGCATTTGTGAGTATGTTGTTGTTTTGCTTCCTTTTCCATATTCATAAAAAGATATCAAATCAAAGTGCAGATAACCCATAGAGAGTTTAAGAAGTGGTGGAAGGACCATGAGATGGGCATGAGATGTACTAAGATCTGGCAGCCTTGCATCTGTATCGAGGTAGGAGCTTCCTCTGGGTAAGAGTGGTGTGGGTTTGGCTTTGTTCTTTTTACTGTGAGGCTTATTTGTTCATCTCCTCGACTGGGCAGGCATCCAGACCGGAACAACACAAGCTTAGTGCAACATTTAGAATCAGCAAGACACTAATCTGAGCCCCGACTATGCCCACCCAGTAGCTGTGTAACCTTGGGTAAATCCCATAGCCCCTCACGTTCAGGTTTCTTATTTCATCATTTAAAATTTCGTATCTGTTGTCCTGCATATCAATCCTGTCCTTCTGGAGAGAAATTTCATGGTAATTTATAGGCAGTGATACAGAGTTATAAAGATAAGCTTTGGAGTCATTAGACCTACATTCAGATTCTGACTCTGCTGCTTAGTGGTTGGGTCATCTGTGTACCTAAAATGGGGTTGGTGATAGTATCTGTCATATAAGGGTTGTAAGAACCTGAGATCAAATTCACTGTCCTATGTCAGTGCCTAGCATAGGGCTTGACACAAGGCAAATGCTTAATGAATAGCCAAAGCCAGGCTGTCCAGGAGATGAGGGTGCTTCTGCTCTGCCCCCAGGGTACAGTGGCCCAATGACCTTGCTCCTAGGTCTGGAGCTGGCTGAAGCCAGCCTGCTCGGAGCACTATTCATCATGACCCCAGAGTGACTCCTGAGACCTCTGGCCAGGCACCATCCTGAGTTAATAGGACACAGCTCTCCAGAGCATTGAACTTCAGATGTAATCTGTAAACCTCTCAGCAGAGTATAAGAAAACACTCCAGGGGTGGGGAGGATTGTTAATAGGGAAAAGAGGTACAGGTGAAAAAGATGGAGACAGGAAAAGCATCTTGGAGATCATGTTGCATAAACAGAAATGGAACAAATTTCTATCCAGAACCACCTGAGAAACATAATGTGAATTGGCCGTGTCTTGTTTTGTTTCTTGTTCAATCGAAAAGTTGATCAGATCACTGCTTCTGTCTGATCAAAAACAAGATGTACACCTGAGAAAAATGAACAGCCTGCTGGTGAGTGAAATGCTGTAAGATGGGGGTGGGGCTGACTTTCATTAGTTTGCCTTGCTGAGCTTGGGGGAGGCTTCTCTCTCTCTCCAATAGCCTCGGCTCCCCTCAGCTCCTCAGGCATGATTAATATTTGAGGTCAGCGTCTGGCCTGTAGAAATCTAACCTAACTGCACATTAGCATTTTAAGACTTCCAGGCAAATGAATACTCATGCGCACGCAGAGGTTAGATATGCGTGTAAGTGCCCCAGGAATGAAGGTAAAGCAATGTGGAAGGATTGATGTTTGCAACCTCAAAGTCAAGGGAATTCAAAGCTAAGCCCCAAAGAGCTATGGTGAGTCACCAGGGCTACACAGGATTAAGATAAACAAGATAGCCCCTCACCCAGGAGGACAAAATAGCACTTGCAGCCTAGGCAACCTGGGAAAAATTTATGCAGAAAACAGATCGTCCCAGCTGAGTCTCTCCAAGTATCCTGACAAACAGGAGACACATTCACTCCATGCAAGCAAAACTTGCTCAGAAAGCGGCAGGTAGCTGACGCGGAATTGCCAGTGAAGACTAGTTTGCAGCTTCATGCTTCAGGATACTGGTGAAAGTAGAGACCAATTTCCCCCTTCTCTTTCAGAAAAGCTTTCTCTTTTAAACAAAGACTTTATTAATCAGAACTTCAGATCACACATGGCAATCAATTGAGGCTGTTTAGGGTATTTACAGTAATTGATCTGCTCCAAGTTCTTCACAAGTGGATGGCACAATACATACACATGTACTTTTCAAAGAATTCAGAAGCCATTAGGATATCCTCAACTCCCATCTGAGAGTCTGAGGGCCATTGACTGGATGTGATCATCAGAAATGAGCAGGGCCAGCAGCAGGGGGCATTTTGATGAGACTGAGAAGGAGTTTCTCTGAAGGGGAGTTGTGAATCCTGATAAAATGAGGACTGAGGAAGGCTGAGGGCAAACTGTGCCATCATAATCATGCAAGTTGCTACAATGTAGCAGATATTTCATGTATACTTACTATATCATCAAATGGTCACAGAACCCTGCAAAGATTTCAATATTACTTTCTCTGGGGTTGGGAAATCCAGGTTAAGGAGTGAAGCTCTTTGCCCAGAGAACTATAATAGCTAAGTGCCAGAACTGTTATTTGAACCCAAGACTGAGTTCAAGGCCAGTGTGCTCCCACCTCAGCACCTTATGCCTCATTGCCTTTTGCCTAAATTTTTGTATATGTGTTTCCCAGATGACTTCAGGGTTGACCTGCTGTATCAGGCAGTTTTCCTGTCTCTGGGCATGAAACCCGACACCCACGGCTTATAGGAGGAGAAATTCACATTAGCTGGTGGTTTCAGGATATTCCCTATAGAGTGGGAAGGCTCCAGGGTAGAAAACTCATGGCGAAAGGGCATGTGGAGCAAAACTTCTTAGTTCATGGCACCCAGGGAGCAGAGCTGGGAGACAGTGCCTGAGAGGATGGGTTAAGAATTACATAGAGTGCCTGAGGCCACACCTCCATGACCCACCCAGACAATGCAGGGTCATCCTTTACTCAATTGCTAGGCCTTTCTTAATCCAATAAAGTTGACATGATAGGATTAATGTTTACAACTGCCTGGAGGCTGGAGACACAGAAGACAAATATCTTGGATCATATGTAGCTGTGAATTTGGAAGTCTTCCTCTCTGGACTGTGGCCAGGCATATGTCTTTTGGAAGAAAGTGTCCAGAAAAAAATTTGGTAGGTTCTTTATGCACACAAAAGACTGAAAGTGGGAGAGCAGGGTAGTGATGGTACTCCCAGGTAGGTGAAAAGACCCCAGGGAAGTAAGGGACCCATTTGAACTCAGGTCCAAGGAAGACAGACAAAGCCCAGGTTGGAAGCTTCCCCATGTGCAGACAGGTGTTGTTGGCTTGACCTTATGACTCTGCTGGGTATTCCAACATGGAGAGCTAAACCATACCGGTAATTATCTTAGACAAAATAGGCTGGGCTCCCTAGCTAAGAGTTCTTGTCTGGTGCACTCAGCACCAGGCCCAGACATTGTGCCTTGTTATAGAGCACCATGGCATAGTCCTAGTCTGCTATGGCTGTGTCTTGATGTCCCCCAAAGCCTCATGTGCTCATAGGGGGTGCTTTTCAGAGGTGGCTGGAGCTAGGGTTGTGAATGTGGGTTAAGGGTGTGTGGATATGGTGTATGGATGTGTGACAGCTGGATTAGTTTATTGATTAGTTTAGCATTGTTCTGGGTATGGGTGATATGTGGCACCATACTCTGGGGTGTGGGCAGCACCAACCAATAGGCTTCTTGCCTGCCTTGCTGTGGAGGGCCTTGTGGACAGTTTCTCCTCTGCCATGCCTGTCTGCCATGATGCCTTGCTCTGAAACCAGCCAGCTGTGGACTGAAACCTCTAGAAACTCTGAGCTGAAATGAATTTTTCCTCCTTCACTTATAGGGATTGAATACTTTGTCCCAGCAATAAGAAAAAGTAACCAAGACATGTTCCTACCTTTAACTTTGCTGATAACCACTCATTCATGTGAACATAGAAGTAATCACGCTGTGTTACAGCCTGGGACTTGGAAACAGATTCAGGTACAGGAATTCCACACCAGAGCCTGAATTTCAGCATAACATCCTGTGGCCTCAATTGAGGTGGTAAGTTGATGTGACGA